TCAAGTTCAGAAATTTGGAAAAACGGTCCACGATGACCATGATTTGTGAATTTCCAGCCTCATTCACCTTTCCCATATCCGTGAAGTCGATGGAAATCGACTCACCGGGTCCATTTGGAATGGGGAGGGGTCTTAGCAGACCATAAGGCTTATGCCTGTGGACTTTGGTATTTTGGCATACCTGACATTCAACAAGAAATTTATGAGCGGATCCTTTCATTCCTGGCCAATCAAACTGTTGCAGAAGGCTTCCATAAGTCTTCTCAAAGCCGAAGTGTCCACTCCGATCATGTGCCAAATCCAAGAAATGAGTCCGGAGAGGGGCATGGTTGGGTACACACAGACGATCAAACTTCCCATACCGGCGGAATACAAGACCCTCGCACTCATGAAAATCAGGCTGACTGTTAGGGTTAGCCTTGAGCTGCTCAAGGATAGGACTAAGGTCCGGATCCTTGGCGGTGTGTTCGACCAGATCCTCCTTCAGTTTCCTTCGGAGGTCATACGAACCCACAAGGCAAGTCAAAAACTCAGGGTGACGCGACAAAGCATCAACAATGTGATTATAACAGCCTTTATTATGTTTCAATTCAAAATTGTACACATCAATGTCATGCAACCAGCGGGTCAGCGTAGGAGAGAGATCAGTTTGTGTCTTAATCCACTGCAAGGTCTGATGATCTGAGTAGACCTTGAAGCGTCGACCCAAGAGGTAGTGCTTCCAATGTGTAAGCGTCTCGCGCAAGGCGTAGAGCTCACGCATATATGTGGAGGTAGCTACCTTGCGGCTGGGCATGCGTTTGCTGTAATATTCGATCGGACGCAGTCCATCACCATCATCTTGTTGCAGCACTGCACCAATCCCAAACTGGCTCGCATCCGTAGTGACTACGAATGTGAGGTTGGGATCCACAATGCGGAGCACAGGATGACTCACCAATGCCTCTTTTAAGGCTTGGAACGCAGTCTCACACTTCCCACACCATGCATAGGCAACATTCTTACTGGTTAGTCTTGAGAGTGGGTGAGCAATGACATAAAATTTTGGCACAAACTTCCTGTAGTACGAAGCCAAACCAAGAAAAGAACGCAGTTCGCGTACGTTCGCTGGTTGAGGCCAATGTCGTATGACCTCCACCTTGGTTGCCTCCGGCTCAAGGCCGTTTGCAGACAACCGGTGCCCAAGATAGATGACGCTGTCCCTTCCGAACTCAGATTTCTCTAAGTTGAGGTGCAACTGTGTCTCCTTGAGGACCTGCAAGACCTCCTCAAGGTGCTTGAGGTGCTCTTCCATGGACTTGCTAATAATCATAGTATCATCAAGAACTCAGTTATATCCCCGCACTAAAGAGGAGGGGATGACCTATGAAAAATTTAGTAAAATTGCATTAGATCATGCAGGATTTCTGGCTGAAGCCAACTATTGCCACTATCGGAAAGATCTGCAAGCGGGCAAAAGATGGCAAAACCGCACCATCTCAGGATCAATACCTGGGAAAGACAACCTCCTTCTGACCTTTGAAGAAGGAGGTGTCGAATCACTTTCTTAGGACCAAATAGATTACGGTCTCGATGAACCCAACAGACCGGTAGCTCAGGAGGGGAGTTAC